TGTGTTCCTTTGGCCAATACCCACCTGTGGTAAAAATGTCATGAAAGTCTGGCCTAAAGTTGTTGAGTAATTTTGTCCACAGACAGACAAATAGACATACGCAACCGAATACATAACCTCCTTGACGGAGGTAAAAAAAAAATGCTAGATTTGTTGGTAGTTATTATTTTTTTTTTTTTGTAAAAAAAGGGGGGGAGTTGTTAGACGGGTCTGAAAATTCACAAAATCTAGCAACAAAGTCACTAAGTTAGCAACTCTGGGTCTGTTGATCCAGCATATCACATGCTTTGTCTCCAAACTGTGGCTGCTCAAGATCAAGATCTTTTTGTGACATCAAACCAGATGGTCTTTGAGTGGTGGACATGTTAAATAAAGTGTTGTCTTTGTGTACTGCCTCTCTGTTGTCATATCTTGTCTTACCAACATCAAGAACAACAAGCAGGCTGGCTTTTTAGCATTAAGTGCTTACAGTGTACCCCATGCAAAGTTTGTTGCTCTGAAGATCACACAACCCATTTGCACAGTAGAATGTTTGAGTTCGTTTGAAAATGGTTTGGCTCTGGACACATGAAATGTGACTGTCTTTCAACAAACATCCCTCTCTGTGTCTTAAAATCTTAAGTATGTGGTTTTCCTATAGGGTCATGGAGAGTTGAAGGGGCTAATAAATTGTTGTTATGCCCTTGTGTCAGTAAGTGGCCAATTCACTTTGAGGTGAAGACTTGACTCAGGGAGCATGTCTTGCATGCTGAGTTAGCAGAATGCCTGTTCCAGATAAACATGGTGCATGTTGGCTGTCGCTGCCTTCATATAAAGCCTTAATTGCCAGCAGTTCTGGTGCCTGGACAGAGACAAGCTTATTGTTGAAAACAATGTGCTTCAACCTGTTATTCAATATATGAGTTTTTTTTTTTTTTTTCAAAATAATGGGAGCTAATAACCTGAGCCCAAACATAGAATGGGGCAGACTGACGAGGTGAGGCTGCCATGCACCAGCACCATTGGGCCCTCTGACCACCACCTGCAGGCAAGGTGGGCGAAGTGTATTTCCCAAGGACACAACGGCTGAGACGGACATAATGCAAGATCGAAACAGCAACTCACCAGTTACAGGATGACTCCACTAACCATTCAGTCACTCTGGGTTTGGAAAAGCTTTAACGTATGTTTTAAAGCCTCACAACTGAACCACAGACAAGGAAAGAGCATTAGAGGAACTTGAGGCTGCGCTCCTGACCTGTGTGGTGCTGGCTCATTTTGACTTTGAGTGGCCCTTCATTCTCTCCACTGAAGTTTCTGTAGATGGCATTGGTGCTGTCATTTCAAAAGTCCCAGCTACTGGAGTAAAAGGCTTGCAACTTCTGCAAGCAAATCTCTGAGCCACAGTCAAACAAAATATTCTGCACATAGACTTTCTTTTTGGCCCTGAAGTGGGCTGTGTCTGATAAGTTCAATCACTGGCTTAAAAGACACAAGTTTACTGTTTGGACTGAAAACAGTTAACATACTGTACCTACTAACCAAGGAAAAACTGGAGGATTTTGAAGCAGTGGGATAGTCTCACTTTTAAGGGGTTCATGACAGTATGGTTCATCAAGGTCAGCTGCACACTCAACCTTTGTTTCATCCTCGATTTTTATTGTTTAACATGCACAAAGATGTGCATTATCATGTGAAGATGAAAAACTATGACTTCAACCAGTAATAAAGTATATTTATTATTTCTTATTTGTCATAAATGTTTTAAAAAGAAAAACATATTATTAATAATACCAGTCAAGACTTAGAAAATGTTCCCTGCATATCTGGTGAACTTTAAGATGAAACTTTTCTCTCTGATATTAGCTAACTATCTTCTCAACAGGTCAGGTTTGTCTATCCATTGGAAGCCACACTGATCTGTCTGTCAGTCTCACTCTCCAATCTTCCTTCACTCATGAACAAAATCCCAAGATGCTTGAATTCCTCCACTTGAGGCACAACCTCACCCCCAACCAGGAGAGAGCAATCCATCCTTTTCCAACTGAAGATCATGGACTCAGATTCGGAGGTGCTGATCAGAATCCCAGCTGTGAACTGCTCCTGTGAGAGCAGAAGATCATGGCATGATGACGCCAGCAGAACTACATCATCTGCAAATAGCAAAAATGGAATCCTGAGGCCGGTGAACCGGACTCCATCCATCCAATGGCTGCACCAAAAAATACTGTCCATAAAGGTTATGAACATAATCTATGACAACAGGAAGGCCTGGCAGAGTACAACTTCCATCCTGAAGGAGTCTGACTTTCTGTCTGCAATGCAAATATCCAATCCATCAACTGCTTTTGGAGTCCTACCTGCCAACAAGGCTCGATAGTGACTCCTTCAGTATGACAGCTTTCCTAACCTCGGGATGTTCACCACAGTGGATGGCCACTGAGAGAAGCATCAACAACCTGATGGCCTCAGTGGAAGGCAGCCACCTCAAAAATTGAGGCGCAGAACATGGCTGGACTCAATGTACCCCACCTTGTCTGGGATGTGGTCAAAGTTCTCTAAAGTGCAAGTTAAACAGCTTTCTGAAAGGTTCTGCCAGTCTAGTCTGTATGGCATCTTACCCTGCCATCTGAGCTAACTCACTACCAGTTGGTGAGTTGACAGCTCAGCTCCTCACAAGTGTCCAAAACATACAATTATAAAGTTAATTATGTACAAAACCTAGGGTGTTGTAAAAACGTTCATTGGACAAAGATGGGGACTCTAGTCACATGACTTGGACTCAAGTCAGATTTGGTAATTAAAACTATGACTTTAGACTTGACATGAAAAATATTCAGACACTTGTGACTTGGATTTGGACTTTTACACCAATGACTTGGGACTTGAATTTGTCTTGACCCCATTTATTTTAAAGACTGGAGATTTTTGACATATGCTCAAGGATGTCAGATAAGAGTGATACTGAGAAAAACCGAGACAGAGACAAAGTACAAAAAAAAGGTAAGGGTTTGTTTATTTACAGGCGAGTTCCAGGTTCTAGTCTGAAAGAAGGCAGAGTCCAGGTGAGTATTTGAAAAACAGGGCAACTTGAATTTGTAGATAAAAATCAATGTTTCCTATGCTTACAGATATCAAAGGCAACAACATTTGGGAGAGAGAGCGATTCCAAAGGCAGGCAAAAGTTCCAGTAGAGTGGCCAGGTTCTTAAAAATCCTCTTGGTTCCAGAAAACTCCTTTTGAAACAACGAGAGGACATGAAATCCAAATCCAAAAAAAACGATCACAAACTTAAGGGTCAAATACAACAAGGGTGAGTACTTTAAAGTTCTTAGTCTAAGTTATACTATAGTGGGCTTAAACACTACCAAATAGGTGAGATGCATCAGCAAAGATCAAACTGCTGAGCAGCTCTTTTAAAGGCCAGACAGTCATCAGGAGAATCACCCACATCAATTAGGACAACACATCAATAATCATTACAATTTTACCAAAAATCTTAGGATGACCTGAGATTATTAAATCTAAAGTTTAATACACATTATTTATAAAGTGCGCCCTCTTAATTCATTTGACTCATTCTGTGACTGAATGGCAGAGAAATCAAACCTAAAACTTTTTCATTAGAGGACAACTCCCCTCTGTGATGGACTTGCGACCTGTCCAGGGTGTACCCCGCCCCTCGCACTGTGACTGCTGGATATAGGCACCAGTGACCCACGCAACCCTGAAAAGGAAGAAGCGTGTACAGACAATGGATGGATGGATGGATGGATGGGTGGATGGATGGATGGATGGATGTGTGGACGGATGGATGGGTGGATGGATGGATGGATGGATGGATGGGTGGATGGATGGATGGATGGATGGATGGATGGATGGATGGATAACTCCCCTAACCACTCAGCCACAGTTGCCCATTTCACAGTATTCATACAAAAATCATGTAAAACATGAAGAGCTCATGAGCTGGTATTTAAGGAGAAAATATTGAGTGTAATTAATGATCTAATGTCAGTCAATGAATGGCTGACTTCCAACCTGTGTGACTTTAGCTAGATGAATAATTATGACTTTAAGTAGTTGTTGAACTTGCAGCTTAGTTTTTTACATACAATTTGTGTTGATTTAGGCTCTATAAATTGCAGCTAAATGGCGAATAAAAACAAAAAAATTGTCAAATATAATTTTACACTGTGGAAATTTTACAACAAGCAAAGGCAAAACCAGCATAGGCTTCTATTTAATAATTTGTACTAAATTGTGGCATGATTTAGCCTGTGCACCACATTGCTAGACTCCATAATTCCATATACCACAGAAGCTACTTCCTACTATCTACTTCAATAATCAACAGCAATTATGTCAACTTTGATTGCTACTTCTAAATGAATACGACTACATTATTAGGTTAAATTCTGGTCAGATCACATTCACCTTGAGGTAAATAAGATACAACCTGCTTATTTGTGAAAGGAGAAAAAAAATTCCCCTTCTCCTAAAGCCATAACACAATTCTTGTAGCATTTTTACACTTTTATATACATTCTGTAGTCTTTGTACATTCTAATAACGCATCATTATTTTACATGCAATATTATAATTTTTAAAAACTTTTCTATTGTCATCCCTTACCCAGGGCTGTTCACCCAAACTACTTCAAAATCTCAAAAGCAGTGAAAAAGTAAACCGTTAAAGTAGGTTTTTTATCTTTTTTCCCCACAGAAACAATATAGAAAAAAATAGGTAAGTTTTGCTTCCTATCTTAGCCTTTGCTTCGTGTAAAACAAGTCCATCACCAAATCTTTTCTGTGTGGTTATTAACATTACAGACAGAAAATGACTAATGCTACAAATTATTACTTTTTTTTTATTAAAAGCGTGCAGTAAAATGATGCAGTTTGATTGGCTATTGGACTTCCGTAAATAACTCTGATGGGTAATGTAGTTGTTTTAGCTTTGGTTTATACAGTTTTATGAGTGCTTAAACTACATTACCCATAGTTCTTTGCGCGTTCGCAACTTGTGTTGACATATGCCGGTAAGCATAAACCCACGCGGCTTGTGCCTCCAGCTGTGTTTTTACTAGGCGTTTTAGGAGGAGTAATACCAGAAAAGTAAATTGTAAGTTATGACGGCTACCTAAAATTCTTTACAATAATGTTATTGTTTTTATTCAGTCACGATGCTAAAGCTAACGGCTACGGAAGTGGCATAAATAGGTTGACAAACTGAGATTAGCTAACAACACACAGCCGTCAAACCAATTTGCAGCGTATTTCTGATATAATATTGGTATTTGGAAAATTATTGTTGATTAAAGGCAAGTCGTGTCGTTCGGTCAAACCCTGAAAATAAGTTATGATGTAGTCCGGGATGCAGCAGAGACTAAAGAAAATCAAAGTTCACGATTGTTCTTTTTCAAGTGCAATGGTCCAGAGCTGGGAAAACAACAACAACAGAGATTTGACACAAACATGAGGTCTAGATTGGTGATTGAAAACAAACGAAACAAAAACTTGTGCTGGACCTGTTATAAATAAATAAATAAACACAACATCTTTATTTACTGAGATAACTGGATGGTATTTTCAGGAGAAGTAGGAGATGGCTTGTTCTTACCTTTAGTTATTCATATTCCTAATCAATGAAAGAATGGGGGACAGTGAAAAATGCAATAATTAGAGAGGGGTGATGCACACTACGAACACTGTAAACATACAACATTAACATCGACTGTGACAGGAATTTTCACATACCTGCACCATCTCAAAATATAGGTTGGGGATGACTCAGCTGAAAAAAAAATTACAATATTTGTAAAACTGAGTTAAAGTGAATTTGAATGTGCTGATTTTGAATGGCTGTGGTGGCCCTTTGAGGATGGGCTGATTCCAAAAGTTAAACATTAGTACATATACTACATCCAATGATTACATTTTTTGAAGTTTCAAAATGTAAAACTTATCTATCCATAAACACATCATTGGAAAGCCTGTTAATTGCCCTTTTAAATGGTGCCACAGTTGGAAGGAACATCCATTTGTAGAATGAGCAGTGGAGCCCATGAAACATTTGCTTATTATGCTGTTGCTATTGACACTTTCTGACAGTATAAAATTTATTGCTAAGAAGCATAGTTACTAAATAAACAAATAAATAAATAAATAAATAAATAATAAATAAACAATCTACCAAACACTAATCTTATTTTTTGTTCTAAGTATATAGTATATGTTTTGCTTACGAACACATCTCATTGGAGTGCCTTTGCCTCTCTGCTGCAAGAAAAACATGTATTGGTATAGTCTCTAAACTTCAGTTTTGAAATAGTATCCTTGAAAATATTTTATTTTCGAGGAGATGTCAGACTCTTTCTTGAACTTTTCATGTTTTAGTGTTAAGTGTGACGTGTAGTTTGTTTTCCAAAACTTCCAAAGCTTATAATTTCTGTATCAGTGCCTCAGTTGGTCCTGTGATCAGCACAGTTATACTCTTGTTCACAAACTTACCAGTGTTGTAATCTGTTTTAACTTGCCAGTTTATGTCTCCTTAAATCCCTGAGCTTTAAACGAATGTTTTATGCATTTAATAAATGTAATATAAGTGTGGAGCAACACTATAGTTACTGAGCTAAGCAAATAAGAACATTACAATGAAGAAGATGTTGTAATGTGTGTGTCTGTTTCAGAGTCTGAAGGAGAACAAAGAGAAGAGAGAAGAATGGCTCCGCTTCCTCCGAGGCTCACTGGGTTTCTTCGTTCTTTTTCCAGTGTCAGCAAGAAGGAGGATCTAACAGAACAGTTCTATGATCTGAAGGTGATGTCCGACACCACATACATAGAAATTAAATCAAGCTAATAATCTCTGAATTGGATCAAATGTACAGGATGGGGTAACATTAAATACAAATGTAACCTTGTGTTTTGTAAGATGAATAGATTCTTCAACCCAATGGTTACAAGGAGGGAAAAAGGGTAGGAGAAGTTGACTTGAACAAGAACTACATGCAGGCATATACTGTACAATCTTGTTGCACATTTTGCTGTGGCGTTTTTATTATCCTCTACTTCTGTCGACTCTCAGCTTTACACATTTAATTACCGGTGCTTTTCAGAGAAAAGAACTCAACCTTTTAACTTTTGACCTGGCATCTCTGATTCCACTGTTCTCTCTCTGACTTATACATTCAATTCAGTTCAGTTCAGTTTATTTACGTAAATCACAAGAAAGGTTATCTCATGGCACTGTACAAAAAACCCTCAAAAATCAATCAGAATGCAAGCAGATTGTATTGAATCTTCACTTCATCACAGTCTCTCATCCTGAGCAGCACACTGGCAGCAGTGGAGAGGAAAAACTCCCTTTTAACAGGAAGAAACTTCCAGCAGAACCAGGCTCTGGACCAGCTGGGTTTGAGAGGACAGGAAAGAGACACAGAGAAACAGAAGGACTGGTCCAGGTGTACTTTCCTCTGTAAGCGGGAGAAAGAAAACACGTTATTGATTGACATAATTAACACAAATATGTACAAGAGAGTGACCAGTGTTTCCCTTAAGAAATTGGTCTTGGGGATGGGTGTAGGTACTTGTTTAAAAAAAACATAATTTTACATGACTCACCTTCAATTATAGTAATAAATTTACATTGTGAATATTTAATTGCCTAACTACATCCTAAAGTTAAGGACTCATCCTGATAATTATCAATAATAATTTAGTGATTTATTTAATTATTATTGATATTAAGTGATTAGAACTCTGTGCACCAGCAGATGGATCCAAGTAGGGGTCTCTGCAGAACGTGCTGTACTGTGGGCGGAGACGGCCCAAATCGTCATTGGCCGAGGTCTTAATGTGGGTGGAGTCTGCTTGTGATTGGCGGAGATGGCCCAAGAGATGTGATTGGTCGGATTGACGGCTGGAGGCAGCGGGGAGTAGCTTGGTTGAGTCGGGCAGGAAGTAACGTTTTTTTTATTATTAATTTTAGTCATAACTTGAGAAAGGAAAGTGCTAGTTGCACGCAATTTGAACGTTATACATGTGAAAGGATGTGTAACAATATAGCTTGGTCAAAACATCCCTAACCAGCCTGTAAAAAATTCATTTTTAGCTATCTTTTTACAGGCTGACTAGGGATGTTTTTAATCAAGCCATATTGTTACACATACGACGTTCAAATTGCGTGCAACTAGCACTTTCCTTTCTCAAGTTATGACTAAAATTAATAAAAAAACTTGTTGCTTCCTACCTGACTCGACCAAGCTACTACTCCTAGCTGCCTCCAGCCTCCTCAAACCCCACCGTCAGTCCGACCAATCACATCTCTTGGGCCATCTCCGCCCACATCGAATCCTCTGCAAATCACGAGGGCCGTCTCCGCCCACAGGAAAAAACCTACTGCAGAGACCCCTTACTCGATGGATCTGAGTCCATAGTTCTCAGTTTGTCACATCTAGAGTCACACAGAAGAGCTCCAGACGCTTTCAGAGTGTGGATGGCTGATTATCTCTTTTGTTTCCCTGATGGAGACTAGAGACCTGTCCAGGTGTCTCTGGTGAACTGGAGACCTGTCCAGGTGTCCCCTGCCTTCACCCAAAGGCAGCTAGGACAGACTCCAGCCCCACCCTGACCCTGATTAGGAACAAGGACAGAATGGATGGAGAATTTTTCTTTATAGCAGGAAAGAGACATTTAATTATAAAACATGATTTATTTTATGTTAATCTGAATCAGTTTAGTGTTATTTGTAAATATATTTGACAGTTTTGTAGGAATGAACACATTTGTAATGTTTGTTCAGAATAAACCTGCTTCTTATAACTTCTGTAACGTTTTGAATAAAATATTATCAGTAAAAACCTCAAATCATGTCCTCTCTAATAATCATTAGAACTCTAGAAGAACTTTAACTCTTGTAGGTATAAAGGATAACAGTTAAAAATGCAACTATCAAAAAAACTTCCTCTCACTCACTGAGAATAATTTATTTACCACATTTTTAAAGACCGATTATAATCTGGGCCCTTAAGGGTTAATGCTCCTGAACGGGACCATGTCTGACCTGCAGTGTGTGTGTGAGACAGAGGAGAGGAGCTCAGCTCTGTTTGAGTAGACTAACAGCAGCTCATTCTGTCTGGTTTTATGGTGTTTTTAATTTACAAACTACTTGTTATTATTTTTTTTAAATTTAAGGGACATTACAATAGCTGGTAGCTGCGCTGCTGATTAGCGCTATTTATTAGAGCATGATCGACCCACAGACACCCGGTCACACGCAGGTCTGTGTTGGTGATTCTTGCTATAATATATAAAAGTAATTATTGATAAGGTAACCATTAGGGGTGTAAGCAAATATCGATAAATTGAAATATCGCGATATTTCATTTCCCGATACTGTATCGATATTCTAAAGCCCTGTATCTATCGATTTTTTTATTAAGGTTTAAAATGTCAACTTTCCTGCCAGCCGTTCATTTTTATGTTGTAGTTCAGCCTCTGACCGCTAGTTGGCAGCAGTGAGTCAGCCATTTGGCTCCTCTACCTCTTGAGGTAGAGGCCATTGTTAAGTGTTGGGTGACCATATTGTAAATTA